TGCAATTCATAAGTAAAAATGTAAACGGTTAATGTGAATAAAGTTTACTATTATACTTAAACATTAAAAATGACTATAATTCTGAAGAGCCATCCTACATAAATATATATAGGATATAAAATTTTAATCTCTTTGTCAAATTAATTGCGGCCCTGAAAATGGCCTCTTGTTGATTGGTATATATGTATTTATCTAAGCATAAAATTTTAATCTCTTTGTTAATTAATTGGCGGCCCTGAAAAGGGCCTCTTTTTGATTGGTATATATGTATTTATCTAAGCATAAAATTTTAATCTCTTTGTTAATTAATTGGCGGCCCTGAAAAGGGCCTTTGGATAAATCATATTACTTGCCTGCAAATAAATAAGTTTATATTTGTATAAAAGACGCTTGATGATTTTTTAAAACTAGGGACTTACGTAGCATGCAAGTATTTTAATTTTAGGCGTCTGAAATACTGAGATCAGTGCGTTTGAAATGCGGACATTGATTCATGCTGCAAGTAAAGAACGGTTAATTTCTACAAATTTAAAAACACTTTAGTTCAAAACTTACCACATGTTTGGTATTTTATGCAATACTTACGGTTCTATAATGGTACCATATGGATCGATCTAGGTCAGAGTTTTTCGGCTTTTCTTTTTCTTTTGTGGACATTTTCAACGAGTTCTTTATTTAATTTTCGTATTTTGAAAATAATTTTTTTACTTTAATGTCGCATTGAATTGTTGCAGCATGCTCAATGTGAGTTTTTACAAATTATTTGTAATGAGCAAGCCGTCTTCGTTCAATGCCTTAAAGACTGACTCAAGACTTCGCATATGGACCATCATAGAGGAGCTTGGTAGGGATAACCCACCCTCATTAAGGTGATCCGCCCAGGAGAATGAATGGTCGTCATTGCTCCTGAACGACGTGCTGGGAATGCCATCCTGCAGCTTGTGGCTATATCCCGCTAAATGCTCGAGTCCGTCTAGCTCCAAATCCTCGAATTCCGCTTCTTCAACCGGCCACAGTTCTGCATTAGAGCTTAAGTTCTTCAGAAAATACCTGTAAATATGGTAAAATTACTATATGTGCGATTATTAATAAAATATATTTTTATATTTAAGCCGAATGAAATAGATAAATAATTATTTTGAATTACTTGTAAGCGGAGGCTGCGTGATTTCTATGTCAGGCGTATCATCCTCTTCTACATTAGCTGAATCGGATAATACGCCTTAGTTGTGTCCTAGCAGGTATAGTCGCTGACGGTACTTGAATTCCTGTTGGTCAGGGTGATCATGTAACCCGCCTTTTGACCGAATAATGCCGAAGAAATTTTCGAGTACGTCTTGGTTTAGCCGATACGTCAAGACATACTTGACATTAAAGCGAGCTTTAATGTCCTCGAATAACAACTTCAACGCCGTATTACTTTGAATGATTCCTAGGGATATAGTAAGAAAAAATAACAAACATTTAGGGCCGGTTACTCAAAGTCTGGTTAACACTAATCTCTGGTTAAACATCGTTATCGACGTTACCGACTCCCTGTTATATGAATGGAGTCGAATACGTCGATAACAATGTTTAACCGGAGATTAGTGCTAACCAGACATTGAGTAACCGGCCCTTAATGTTATTCTTGAGATAACCATATGTATTAGCTTACCTTTTTGGAATGGCAGCAGACTAAATTTGCCAAGCACCCTCATATTTTTGACTAGGTCGGTCATCTCGTCTAGGATTTTGTTTTGCTCCTCGATCGCTAAACCGTAAGCAAGACACCGCTTCCTGGAGTCGGCGTGAGGCACCCTGACGTTTAGAACGTCAAACCAGTCATTTGTCTAAGGTGTATAATTTGAACATGAGTTTTAATATTGCGGTTTAAATATATCGTAACCTTAATTCACAAAGGCCCTAAACAAAAAAAAATTATATTTTATAGCAGAAGCAATAAACGTTATAAAAATAGTATCGAAAATAGGTAGAGCTTTTGAAAAAGGGGCATGTAACTCCGTTGCTTTTGGTACTAACACTTTGAAATTTTTATTTAAGCTATATTTTAGTACGAAAAACTGTTGGTTAGAGCCTTTGTGAATTAAGATAACGATATGTAATATAGTAAAATATATAATATATCAATTTCATAATATAATATAATAACACATACTGTTTTGAATAACTGGAAGCATTCGGTACAGTTTTGGTTCTGCAAATGACCCAGCCTTGCTGCCCTTGTTATGGCCTGCGCCACAGTATGCGAAAATAGTTTCGCTGCCGTCTTGACCTTTTGGCGGTGAGCTCCAGCCACGGTCAAGTTACTTGCAGAAATGAGTTATTGTCAAGTCCGTGCTTGTAATTGACAATAACTCCAAAATTATTTCCTTTTTCACAGGTTTCCCATTAATTAGGAAACCTTGATCAAGGAAATGATTTCGCAAAAGTTTTAGCAAGTGTGGCACGTCAGCGAAAACGTAAATCCTTTGGTCATTGAAAATAAACCTATGGAAATGAGGAGTATTATAAGAACTGAAATCAATAAGTTTAATTGTGATTATTTACCACGGCTGGTCTTCATTTACGCCTAGATCATTAAATAGGGCCCTATTGGGAAGCAAAACGGAAGTCATTTTGCAGTCGAAGTCATAAAAGATTGGCTGTTTCCACTTTGCCATGAGACCTGAAATATAAATATATTATATATATATTCTATAAAATCTTGATTGTAATGTTTACCTCTTAACATCGCTACCTGTACGTAGTTGACGGGGGCTAATGTTGAGTCCGATGAAACATCGTAACAGTAAGATTGTCTTACTTTCATTTCGTCGAAACTCAACACGCATAGCTTCTGTGCCTCGTTCAAGTCCGCGCGAAATGTCCAGTTTTTGTGCCCAACTTTGAAGTGTGCGGACCGATGGGAGTGGAAGGCATTGCTTATATACTTAGGACTGGCAGCATACAACGATATTG